CAAAGCACTCACTGCACCATCTCCGTCCACAGAGCTCCGTGGCAGCAGGTTGCAGGAGAAGAAAATGCTCAACCATGGAGAAGATGTTGCACAGACTGTGAGTGTAAATCCCTTCTGGGTGCGCAACACTTGGAAAGCCCCATGAACCTGCCTTCCCCTTGGTAGTCCATCTCTGCAGGCTCCCTCAGGGAGGATGGCGGTGTGTTTTGCTTGAATCTGTATGACTGACCAAAACTCCTGCAGAAACAGGGAGCAGATCGCAGAAGCCTTCAATGAAAATACCTCACTTGTTCCTGTGGGTTTGCAGCAGTCAGCACGGAGGCGGGAAAAGGCTTCAAAGCCATTTTCTCCCTGCAGCCACGCAGAGTATGGCTCAGTGGAGACCGCTTGAGAAATAGCAGGTGCAGATTATCTCTGTGTCTGGTGTGGAGGAGTTATCACTGCAAACAGAATTATTTCTAAGTGAAGGAACTGTAAATGTTTAATTACAGATAGAATCCTGCCTCGGCCACAGCAGGCTTTTATTATTTTTTTTTTTATTTTAATCATTTTGTTTTGTTGCCTCTTGAAATACCAGCCTGCAGTTTTACGTAATAACCTCACTAATAAGCCAGTTTCCCAATATCAATATGAAATAACACAGTAATAAGAGTACCCTTTCTCACAGAGCAGAGTTTTTGCTTGCAGAGAAGGTGGGAAGTGACTTTCACCCAGCAGTTACTGCGTTTTAGCTGATATCTCATTATCTGACATAAACAGATCCATGTGCTTGACTTCATCTTAAACTGTTGATTACTGGATAGAGGCAAATCCTGCCGCCAGAGACCAGCAGGGGAAAGGTAACTGCGGCTGTGCTTGAGCTCAGCTAGCAAACGCTGGAAGGGTGATGCTCGGTGTGCAAAGACACAGTAAAGAGGTAGGGAGGGTGTCAGATTTTCTTTTCTCTGCCAGCATTCCTCTAATGCACACCGGCCCTGCAACTAAAAGCAAACCCAAACTTTTTAGGTCAGTCCTTTTATCATTTCCAGAGCAGTAGGATCTGTTCTTCTCAGCATCAAGCATTTTCAGTGTTTTATTCCAAAGTTAATTCAAAGCACTGCTATTTTGATGTCCTCTTATTTTAGATTCTGTTCACATGTTTGGATAAGTGTATTTGACCATTTGGAGATCAAGAATGGAGAATCAGAATCAGTTCCTCCATTGCTTTTTACTTCTGACTCCAAAGTTTCTGCCTGCCGACAATGATTTTGTGGGCCAGCTATCCCCTGATGAAGGCACAGAGGAGAATGATGGGCAGCAAAGACTTCTGCAGATGGGATTCTGTTCAAAAGACTGGAAATAAAAGAGCAAAGTCTAAACTTTTTATTAATTTGGGCCAAAAAATGTGTGTAGCTTCAAACCACCAGAGCAGTGATGGGTATGAACCAGGTGGACTCTATTAGAAAGTGAGTAAGGGAATCTTTCTCCTTTCTAATAGCTGCCAAGAAACATGCTTGTTTCAGCTTTTGCATGAAATGATAGATGGGGGCTTTGAAGCCCAAATCTCTTTGGTTTTATTCCTCCTCCCTTTGGTACATGGGTGCTGTGGATGGTCATTACTCACGGTGGAAACATTTGCCACAGGAAGCTCCTGGAACGGAGTTTGGAAAGCCATGAAAGCCCTAATGGCAGCTGAAAACATCAGTGCTGTCCCAGCACTTTGCTGAATCAAATTATTAAGTGCCAAGATAAATTAATGTTTGTCTCTGAGTCATTCTCAATTTTACAGAGTCCAGGGTTTTGAAACTCCCTTCCTACCAAGAAAATCCTCTCTCCTTGAAAAAGAAACCCCATTTTGGTGGCAGGAGCTTCCAAAATCTAGAACTGTGTTTTCACAAGTCTTGCTTCACTCTCCAGTAAATTCCTTTCCACCTCTCCCTGCCCAGTGAAATAACTGAAATATTTGCATTTTTAAAAAATCAGGATTTTCATTAGTCATAAAGCATAGGCTAATGAACCTCTTCTGCAAGGCTATTTAGTTAATTAATATTTATACACTGAAGCAAGGCTCAAGAGCTAACCTATGAAGTGTTACTCAATGATCCTGACCACCTGGCTTGAGAATCCAAGATGTCACTGAAATTGAATCAAGATTCCTGCCATTATGGTTTCAAAACAAGGGAGATGAACACAACAAAAGCATGAAGCAAGGAGGCACAGCTCTGTCTGGCAGGCCTGTGGGCTGAGATAACCAGGGGCCACCCCTCTTCCTGGGGCTGTTGCTGAGACAACGGGGGTACCGCAGGCAGTGGGCCATGTTTATCCTCGGGGGAAAACACTGAGCCCACAGCAGCTGAGGTCTCTGCTCCTACATCATGCTTTGCCGGTGGAGAAGGAGAAGAAGGGAAGACCTGCCCATGGCTGCCTTCACTCCCTGTAGCCCCGAGCACTGTCCCTGCACTCGCTCAGCCCAGACCCTGCGTGTCTGTGGGAAGTGGCACTGCCTTTCTCGGGGGCTGGCGCAGCCCCACACTCCTCTCCGTGGGCTGTTAAATAGGAAATAACCAAGGAAAGTGGCTGGGTATAGGCTGACACTGACACCCTGCCCAGCACTTGTGCCACCGGCAGACATACCTCGACTGAGCACTGCTCACCCCTCTCCTCTGCATCTCCAGCCAGCACCCTCTCCCATGGGGTGACTTGCCCTGCTGTCTCCCACAGAAAGGAGATGAATATAAAACAGAGAGTGCTTTCTCACCATCATTAAAGCGCTTTCTTACCATCATTCATCAGTCATCAATTGTCCAGCCCTTCCAGCATCTACAAGGGTCTGAATGGAAAGCCTTCACATGACAGATACATTGTTTGTTTAGACAGAAGAGTCACAGTTCATTTCAAAATCCTTTCTGCTTGAGCCTTACGCTCCTTACTTCGGGTAAAAAAGAGGGTTTCCTATGATTTCACAAGGAAGATTAGGCTTTGTTTTTTCAGATATTCCATACCTCATCACCATCTCAGTAGTAAGCCAGGCAGTGAAGACACAGGGATTGGAGCATCTCTCTTGTGAGGAAAGGCTGAGAGACCTCTGTCTGTTCAGCCTGGAGAAGACAAGAGAGAGGGGATCTCATCAATGCTTATCAATATCTAAAGGGCGGGTGTCAAGAGGATGGGGCCAGACTTTTCAGTGGTGCCCAGCAACAGGACAAGAGGCAACAGGCACAAACTAGAACACAGGAAATTCTCTCTCAACATGAGGAAAAACTTTACTTTGACGGTGGCAGAGCACTGGCACAGGCTGCCCAGAGAGATTGCGGGCTCTCCTTCTCTGGAGATATTCAAAACCTGCCTGGATGTGTTCCTGTCCAACCTGCTCTAGGTGAACTGGGAGCCGACTAGATGATCTCCGAAGATCCCTTCCAACCCCCACCGTTCTGTGATTCTGCGATTCTTTGATTCTGTCCAGATCTTGCTCTGTTTCATGTCATTTTAGCAGATGTAACTCATTTCCCCTGTTTAGCAGTGCCTGTGGTGTTATGCTTTGCTGCCGTAGCATGTTGGTATGCTCCAGGCTTTTTACATTATTGAATAACTTAGCACCTCATTTCACTGGTGGATCTTGGCCTTCTGGTTAATCACATCCTGGTTTGTTCCCAGCATCTCCTTAGGAGTGCCCTATTTTCACCCTCAAAATTAAGCTTGGGTGGTATCTGTGGATCATTAGCTTCAAAGACTGCTTTCTGAATGGATGAAACATTCATCACCATCCCAACAGGCCTCTGGTGCTCATGCAACCTTAGCCTCATGCTCTAAAAACAACTGCTGCACCGAAGGCCTCACATTTGGCAGGCAACTGAACGGGAAGAGAAAGAATACTGAAAAATGTGGGATAATTTAGGGCCACAGAGCACCCCAGAGGTCACAGAGGAGCTTCAGCCAAACGCTAAGCAGGCTGGTCAGCCTTGAACAACTTGAATATGAGCCAGTCCATCACGTTGCGGGGCCAGGGGTCACTCCCTGGGGCTGATGCCTTCAGTAATGTTGTTGCAGCCAACTGTAGTACTGGTGAAGTGTTTCTGACAGACCAAGAAGATACTTGCTCTTGGGAAGGTTGGGTGTGCGTGTGTATGTGGATGCATTTACAGAACTGCATTCTGCAGTTGTGGCTTTCTGGAGGATACTAGTGGGTGGTTCAAAAAATATAATATCGATATTATTATACATATATAATTTGATTCCTTTAGACTGAAATAAGCCCCCAGTACATTTATATTTACTTGGCAGCAAAGACATAAAACTTGGTTTGGCAGCTGCCTGTAGCAAAACACTGGGAACTCAAGGGAAAAAATACCGCCTGGCTGAGTAGGTTGAACTAATGCTGAGAAACGGGGCTCTGTGAATCTGAATTCAACCCAGTTTTTCAGAGCTACTTACTCAGTCTCCTTCTACCGTTGGCCAACTGACAGAAATTCAATATTTTTCTTTTAGTGAATGAAAAGCATAGTTAGAAACAGCCATTGGGTCAGGATCATATGCAAAAGCTCCTCTTGTGCTTTTGTTTCCTAATTGCTCTTGGAAGGATTTTTCGGACTGGGCTGACGCAGTTGTGTGTGTGAATTTCCTGGCAAATAAGGAAGGTGACTGTGTCCAAAAGACATTTAAGAGTGTGAATTCACAGCCTTTCCATGTCTAATCAAGGAGCGTAAACCATTAGCCACATGTTCTCCATTTCCATCACATTTTTTCACACTTAAACAAAAACATGCCAAAGAAAAGGTGCTACATTTTTTAATGCCCCCAAATAGGAACCACGGGAGTCCGTTAAATGCTGTGGTCATTTCCAGCATACAAATCAATTTTCCTTGTGGTGGTGAAGTGGTGAATAATGCCTGGTTTGTTTAAAGGAGCATGACTGATTTTGGATGAAGGATCCTGTCACTTTGGCATTTTTAGTTTTATTTATTGCACGCAACCATATAAAACCTGGTACTGGTCTCAGTGCCAGGCTTACTAGTGGAAAAGCTGAAAGGACCACATAACTCCTGGTGCAGCAAAGAGGTTCTCCTTCTGCAAGGCATTTGCTGGACTGCTGAAAAACTATTTTGAATAACATGGCAGAGAAGGATTTCATCATTTGGCATCTACTGGCTTTATTTTTTCTTCCATTTTGCCTGTGTCAAGATGAATACATGGAGGTGAGCAGAAGATCTTATAATCCAGTGGCCAAAGTATTGCAAAGTCACCACCAGACTGGCCATAAAGGTTCCAGAAGCAGGGAAATATTGAAACAGCGGAGTCAACTTATAGAGTGGACTGTTGATAATAGCACTTCTACAGACCAAAAAGTCTTGAGACCAGAGGTAGATGATGTAGAACTGACTACCTCAGATAGAGTCCAGGTACTCTGAATTAATCTTCTAAAGATATCTTTACAGCTAATGAGATTTTTTTTTTTTTTTGCTAAGATTATTAGTGATATATTTATGAAATTATTTTTATTAAAGTTGTGTATTGGTCTGTATCCTGTTGGGTTGCTTTATAGGATCTTTTAATGAGATGGTAGAACCAGCAGTGGTTGGGTACACTGGTTTCAACACAGACAGCAGCCCTTTGTTTTGCTGAAACTGTGATGCTGTTCAATCATATATCCTGATATACAGTCTCTTAATTATTTCAAGGTAATACTTGTTTAATATATGAAAGATTTAGATTCTGTTAACTCATTTGGATGTGAAGGAAAATTACAGAATGTATAGTGGTATTTGGAAAGATTCAATTAGCAGAGAATACTTATTAATGCATATAAAGTATATTCTTTTGAGCTCAAGACAAACATAGTGAAATTCTGAGTGTTCAAAAGTTTTATTCTATGGAATAGCTTGAAAAATCAGACACTAATGTAATGAGTAGATTCGAAAAAAGACTCTGAATGAACCTAAATCATCTGTAGTATCTGCCTTTTAAATTGTGAATCTTTTTATATCATGTATATGGCATTTTAGATATTATAGTCATTAGCTCACAGCAAAGGGAAAATCGCATAATTTGATTACACACAAAATACTGCAGTCCAAATTTAAATGGAAAAATCTGAACAGCAGAAGATGAAGCTTTTTCTAGCACTAGGCAAAACAAAATTCTGCTCAAATGAAGTTTTTGTTGATTGATGTTTTCTAGAAACAACAAGAACATGAGTGTTTTTTTCCTATTGCTGATACACATGTTTGAGTCCTATATAGTTCACCTTTCATCATTTGTTTTTTAAAACGCTTTCAGATCAAATGATGGTATTTTGAATTCCAAAAATCATGGGCATGCAGACAAGTGTTGAATAATAACGTACTTCATGATAAGCAGAGAGGAGATTTGATTTTAATCCTGTCCTAGGCTTGAAAAACTGAAACATATCCAAGTATGGGAATAGGTTTAATACACCACTATATTCCCTGTATTTAAATTTTATAGTGCTTTGCATTTTGTATTTGTTGGGCAGGAGTTATATGTTCCTCCAGTGCACTCAGCAAAGTAGATATTTAACTGTAGGGATGTTAAATTGCACTTGCAGTATATAAACAGTGTAAACCATCAGCTGTATAGTCCAATGAGCCAGCTAGTGTGTGTTTATCTCTTTATTGCAGAGAGAATTTTGCAGCTGCATACCACAGGCCATGTATTATTGGTACTTAAAGCAGACTCCCCTTTAACTCAACATAATTTCAGATAATGCAGCATTTAATACAAAAATTACATTTTTTTTAGGGACAAACGTCCCTCACAGAAGTGTCACTGTGCTTAGGGTGCATGTGTCTCTCATCAGAGACTTTAACGCAACATGTTTGGAGTTGCCTGCTGCAAAAAGAGGCTGTGACATTTAAAGTGAGCCCAGTGAGTCCAAGTACGGCTTATGGCAGTCATCTACCTGCCAGACCCTCTCTCAGAAGCAATCTTTGCTGGGGAAATGATGCAATTTTTGGCTTACTGAGATGAAATGGAGCACTAGCAGATGCATGACAGGAATAATCCATCACAGAGGGGCTGACGCAATAGGTATTTTCCATCTCTAGACTCCAAGGTTTTCCAGGCAGAGGAGGAACAAAGGTGGCACGGACATGTTTTAATTCATGTCAGACTTCTCTCTTTCCCTTGAATTATCTGAAAGCTGTTTCACCCCTAGGTCCCTACTTTCTTAGTTGCCTTAGGTCTGGCTGGATAATTTCACCCTCCTACAAAAGTGTGTTAACGGTCCCATTCCCCGTTATGGAATAGAGACAATAGCACTGGTCTCTGCTGCATTGGGTACAAGGCCAGTTTTCACGCTGTTGCTAACTTATGTAAAACATAACGTGCATTTCTCAAGCACAAGAACTCCTAGTGACGGGGGAGAGCCATGCCAGACACATTCTTCCTTTTCAGGTTGCTCTTTGAAAACCCTCAGGTACCCCCTCAACCTACTGGTGTTTTACCCTGATTTTGGTGATTTTGGTTTGTTTATTTTTTTGCTAGAGAAGGGGCATGGAAGGCCTTAGTGCCCACAGTCATGCTATTTTGCGTTCAGAACTGGAGCCAAGACTGGTGGATGTACAACACTCATCTCCTGCACAGTCTTAAGACAATATAACAGAAACCAATGAATTTAATTAGGAAGTGAAAAAGGGCTCGATCTCTAATTATGATTCATTCACAGCTTTAAGTTACAGGAATTTTATAGACCATCTGTTGCCTAGAACTGCCTCCTACATACTAAATCATAGGAAATTCAGCAAATAGCCTCAGAAATATTTCCAGTTTTCTGTCTGTATTAGGATATCAATGTGACAGATGCATTTCACAAGCTCCTAAATCATATTCTTGTTCTGAGAGCAATGCCAAAGATTCATTGTGTGATGAAATTTATGTGCAAACGGCTGCACAGGACACCTTTGGCAAGTAGGTTGGAATTAATCTCTTTGTCCCATTTGAGTGTAAGTTTGCTTTAGGAACAGGTTTTTCCTTTAAATGTACTCTTCATGAAGTTCTCTGTTTTTAGAGATTAAGAGTTATCCTGAATATTCATTGTTCTTGGCGGCTGACTGTGAACATTTTTTTCCTCCTAGTCAAAGGATCAGTAAAGATAATAAGTCAATACTACTTTATGACTTACATAAGTAGCTATTTTGAAGTCAGTGGAACTGTTCTCATGCAACCAGGCTGGCAGGACTTGCCTCATTTCACATGTAATAACCTGCTGAGCTTTTTGAGAGGTAAATGCCAAACAGCATTCGGTTATGACCAACACTAGTATCTATTTTATGATAACATAGCTGGTTAGCTAATAATGTCGTTCAAGATTTTAGTGCATTGGGTAAAAAACCAAATCTTACCTGCACAGAGAGAGTCTTACATGCAGTCCAGTTTGCTGGACTCATGCCTTCCTTTACCTATAATCCAGAGTTCTGTGTCTTTGGATATTTCTAGGCTCATACGACTTATTTGCTCTTGACAGGTATGTATATAGTTTGCCTTCTCATTTAACATTAATATGAAGCACTATCAAAAAAGAGGTGGAGATTTTATTCTCAGTGCAACACTGAACATTATCATTTCAGGTGGTGCAAAATGCTTGTGCCATTCCAGCCCTCTTGTACTTGGCTCCCCTTCAAGGACTGAAAATGAGCTAAAAGCAGGGCTACTTCTTCTCTCATATTAGGAAAGCTTTAAACAGTGTGTCTGGTGATTGTCAGTTATGTTCTTCCTAACAACTGGGAGAGATAAAACAGCAAGAAAGATACAAACAGGTTCTCCAGGAACAGACAGTCCAAAACAGGCAGAACTCATTTTTCTCGTATAATATAGACCTTACCCAGAATGAAGGTAAAAAGCATAGTATTGACCAAACCCTCATAAATATGAAGTCATTCTGCCCATTGGCAAGTCTTAACATTTCCATAACTCTTTGAATATGAAGCATAATGGCTGAGCTGTCAGGTCAGCCTTTATTCCCATGGTAGATCCACCATTGGAGGTTCCAGCTGGAGAGGGCATGTGTCTGTCCCATTGGAGGAGCAGCAGTATTTTGGTGTCATGAAAAGGGTTTTTTGTATCCATAAACATAAACTCCCAAGCCTCTCAAAATTAATGAATTCTGGTGGTGGTGGTGCACTTGGTATTGATCAAAACACGGGCAGAAATCTTTAGTGTTTCAGATTCAGCCATCTGATGACCTTGAGGGCAGGAATATAGCACATCTCTATGTTCATTTGGCAGCTCCCATCACACCAGAGGCTCATTTGCTGCCGTTACACCAATAGGTCTGCATCAGGCAAGTAATTTGACGATGATAAAGATGAGTGGAAATAAAGGGAACGAAGACAAACAGTAGAATGATCAGAGAAAAGTAGCAGTAAGATGGTGTAACTATCCCCCTTCCAGAATTTAAGAACTGCAGATTTGCAGCTCAGGATAATAGCAAAAAATTGTAGGGAAAAAGAAACAAAGAGGGAGAAATGAGAAGAAGGTAGAGAAATAAAATCAAACAGTGGACCTCTACCTCAGCTGACTCTTTGGAAGATTTGTGACCACTAAATCACTGCAAGAATGAAATCAAGCCAGGATTGAGTGAGAATCCATTAGTGTAAATACAACAATTTGGGAAAGAAAAGCACTGAAACAAAACTATTATCAAACTATTATTCTAGTAGCTGAGCTGTGTATAATAAACTCATTAGTTTGTTTATGCTGCTATATTAGTTTCAGCATATAAGCAGGTTTTCATAGTTACAAACCCACGACTACAAATAGTCAAATATCCACAACACCAAATAGCGTGGTCAGTTCAAATTCTTGTAATGTATTTTTGCACTTTTTTAGGTTCTCCCAACTTTAGTAGGCTGTAAATGTGCAAGTCCAGGGCCATGAACAGGAATATGCTGCACAGACATTTTTTAACATCTCCTTTGGGCGGTCCAACTTAGTTTTGTTTATGTTTAGTGGAGGACAGTTCATTGCTGAAGGTCAATGAAGTCCCTTGTGTCCTACCACTTGTTGTACATAGGCTTGTTAGTCAAGAAAGGTCAGCTGAAATGCAGGATTGGTGGAAAGCAGGATAGGAAACTAGCTGAAATATTCATCTAACTTTCATTACTTGGTATTATTTTATTTTCAAAACTCTTGCTATTTGCCAGGACAAGTTGTTTGTTTTTTTTTTAATATTCATATAGCTCTTCGAACACTTGAAGAGCTGTTCTCTTAAATCTTCCAATAATAACATCTTCAGGGACAACGCAAGTATGGGAGATTTCAGGCCAGATAAGAAATGTTTTGAAAATTTAGCAAATATATAAACAGAGAATATATAATGAAGACCCTGTAACCAACATGCGTATGATTGATGCCCTCCATGAATGAGCTATTCAAAGCTTATTTTTGTGCACTTAGCCCCCACAAACCGGGCCGCAGAATCCCGACTGTAGCTCCTGCTGCCGTGGTGACTTCGGAGTTCGACTGTACCAAGGGCCCCCAGGACCTCCCGGACCCCCTGGGATGCCAGGTAAAGATGAAGTTTAATTGATTTTATGATCGGTCTAATTGCAGGCTATAAACTACAGGCTGTTCTATGAAATATCAGAGAATGGTCCAAATTTCAGTATTTGGGGACAGATTCAGAAACAAGTTTTTCTATAATTTCTGGGGAGACAGAGATTTTCAGTTAGACTCTAAAGTCCTTTCCAGTGAAAACCCACTTGTTATTAAAATTCAGCTTTCACAAATTCATACTGAAAGTAATCTTATTACATTTCTAGGGCAAATTGGTCTCTCAAAGCAGCATGAAGCTTCCATTAAAGTTGGAAGAACTTGTTCCCTGGAGTTGATTATTTCGATTACCTTTGAATATCCAGCTATGCTATTGTGTACTGTATTCAGGAGCTTTTTTTCATCTAGCATACTGCTAGCCAATGTTTTACAGAGACACACATAACTCTATTCTCTCATAGAAGTGTCTTCTTTTCCTTCTTTCTTCTTGTCTTCCATAATAAAACGTACCTTTTTTTTCCCATTAGAAATGCACACAGAAGAGTAGGATACACAAGGAAAGGGTACACTTCCATCTGATAATTGGTGTGGAAAAAGAAGAGGCTAGAGAAGGGAAAAAGATAGATAGTTAGTTGCACGTTGGTGTGTTTGTTACAGCAGCTATCTTCAGGGATTTGAAAATCACCATTCCTAAAGCAGACGTATAATGTAAATGAACATGTCACTGACTGGCAGATTTGTCTCATTTTCAAAAGCTTACATCTTTTGTTATCACAATAAAAATGCATTTTCACAATCCTTCTGTCTCACAAATGTACTGACAGCAACAGACATGACAGATAACCATGCACAAAAAAAATTAATGTAGTGATTTTTGGTAGAAACAGTTTACAGCAACAGGTAAATCTGACTGTTATGAAGTTAAATCTGAGTGAATGAAGTGTTTAAAGAACTAGCTTCAGTTAGCAAAATACAGAAATAAATTGTTACTTTGACATATTTGGGGTATTAGGCAATATAAGGTCATAGGCGTATTTAGTATTAGCCTGCTGTTAACTATTCCTGCATCAACCCTTTATAAAAATACTACTGACCATTACCAAAGAAAGAGAAATCTAATCTTGTGCAGAAATATTGCATTACATACTAATAAACTGCTAACTTCTTAGGAGCGGGACATAATTTTGTATCCAACCCACAGTTTGAAGGCTGCAGTGTACATACTGGTACACAGCCCAGTTCCAGCTCCACCCTTTCCTCATGCAAGGATGTATGTCAGTCACACCTTCTTATCACCACAGGATGCCACAAACAGGTGGCCAACACCAACCTTCTGCACTCTGGAATTTCTCTGTCTCCTTCATGTGCTTGATTTCATACCATTGTGCCCATAAGGGGAACAACAGCAGCTGCTTTTCCCTTGATTGAATCAAATGTTGCTTGCAGACTTCTGTTCTGAACTGGTAGAAAAGCAGTTCTGGCTTTACGTGAAGGACCATTCTTGTTATTTTTAAGAGTTATTGATTTCTTTATCCAAACAAAAATTTGCTTAATTTCTTCCACAATTTAGCTTCCTTGTTTGAAGTAAATTTTTCTTCTCAATGCAAAAACTCTGAAGAATCACTTAATCATTAGATTTTATGTCAAACAACACCATTCTTGGAAATTTTTAATCACAGTGACTAATCAGACAACAAGCAGAGTGGCAAAGAATCTATTTTCAGTTCAGGAGGAATTAGAACAATGACGACACTAATTAATCCTCTGAGTAATTAATTGAAAGGTCAGGTTTTTGCTTCAGGTATGCATAATAACGACTCAGTGATTTTAGCCAACTTTAGAATTTTGTCAGTTGCATAAGACGTTTGCTCAGTAATTTTCTCAGTAAACATCAGAAATTAAGTAATACTGCAGATGCAGATGCAGGAATATGTTTTAATAATGACCCTTTTTACAAGAAACCATCTCAGAAAAGCTTAATTATAAAAATTTTGTCTTTCCTTAAATCTAGGAACATACAATCAATCAACCCCTTGAAGCTAACCAGCACCCTGAGAATGCACCCTCTCCCGTTTTTGGCACAAATGGGTCATTTAGCTAGTTTTAAGGCTGCAGACATTCTTTATTTGTGTCGACGTGTTTTAAAGAGAGGAAAAAGTTATTCAAAATTATCTTATCCTACCCTAATTAACCTAAATTATCAGGAAATAAGGTTTTACACAAAAGGAAAAGCAAGAGTGCTTATGCAGGCTACCTGGGATGTGTCAATAGGCAGTGGCTTTTGCTTTCCTTGAGCCTCATGTCCACCGAGGTCTTGCCCTTGCACATCTCCCCAACAACGCAATGACTTGAGACATCAGCGGTTTATACAGCAACACCAAGGTAGCATGAGGGTTCACTCTTAAACATCAATCTACATTCTTCTGGAAATGTGCTCATCAAAACCTTCACCTTCATCTTCACCGTGCTGCTGTTTCTTATCCATCACAGCTCAATCTGGGTTTTATGGGACTGAAAAGTCCATGTGTTGCAAACTGGTGGAAAAAGACAGTTTAACAGTTATCTGTTAAAATATGCTATATGAAAGAATTGAAGTTAAACAGAAAGCTCTGTTTCCTTTAAGGAAATCACGGAAACAATGGAAATAATGGAGCAACTGGCCAGGAAGGAGCCAAAGGTGAGAAAGGAGACAAAGGAGATATGGGACCGAGGGGAGAGCGTGGCCATCATGGACCCAAAGGAGAGAAGGGTTACCCTGGGATTCCCCCAGAGCTACAGGTACAAAATCTCTGACTTGTGTTGGCTGCAGTGCTTCTCAGGTTATGGTTTTCTTCTCTGAAAAACAGCACCTAACTACTTAAGAAGCAAATCCCCCTGTAGTTTAATACAATGAGAAACATACATAGCCCTTGTCACGACTGACAAATGTGCTCTGCCAGATCTTCCTGGAAAAGAAAGACATCAGGGCTTAGCCTTTCTTCAGAGCAAGAATCCAGCTGAGAAATGGGCAGGAAGAAACATATATGGTTCCCTTTTTAGGGCAGAAAGCCAGTATCTGGGTCATTAAAGAAGAACAGCGGGGACTATCATTTTTCTGTCAAACTGTATCACATACATAACAGCACTTCCTATGGCATACGAAAAGAGTAAAGGAGTCACTCAGGCCCACGCCTCTCAGGTCAGTCAGGCTTTGTGAGATTCTCAGAATCATGTGTATCCAGTTCCTCAAAGTATGGGGTCAAATCATCTGAGCACAGACATAAGTCCTCAGGTTTTGAAAAATACGCTTCAGTAGCTATCTGTGGTTTTGTATGTCTAGATAACTTAAATATGTGGAGAGGCACGTAGGTTCTGCCTATGAGTGAACTACCCAAAAATCAGATGAGCATTAAAGCATGGGTTCAAGCCTGAGCTGATAAGCTCTGGTGGGGGATGGGCTATATTTGTTTGGGTTTAACACTGCGTTGGCAAAGTCCCATATTTTTTGCATTAGAGCTTCTTCCTGTCCCAGGAATCTGGCAGATAGCTTATGTGTGTATATATATATATATATATATATATGCAGTACAGTGGAGTCATGGTGTAGTCCTGTTCTTAATGCAACCAAAAGTAAATGGGACTTGGATAACTAAGACCCTTGGTTGCTGTTGCAAAGGGGATTTAAGAGTTGTCCGCACTGTAAACTGCAGCGTAGCAATATATCAGCAGGTTATCTGAAATAGCAGGAAGACTTGACTATCCCTATGATAGTGCAGCTCAGGTGCTAAAGGCAAGATTTAGGTGTGTGGCAAGCCTTTAAGATGTATTCCTCCTGGTCTCCAGCTGCCACTGGGGAAGGTGCTTCTGCCGGTCAGATCAGCCAGCCCGGTGCTGGGGAATCCTGAAGCACTTCAGGCGGCACTAGCTGCACTTGCATGGGCAAGGGACCGCAGTCAGGTTCAGCTCCAGAGAGCCTACGTGTGAGGGAAGCATCTAAGCTCCCATTACAATTACTGAGGATCTAGAAGAGAAACTCAGCTTAATCTGGCAGTCACTGCTGCTTTTGGGCAAATGGGACTTCAGACACCACAGAGTATATAGATCTCCAGAAACCACAAGTGAGTTTATATCCTCACTGACACATACACACTTCAATGGAAGCAGCTTAGTATTGATCTGATTCATACCCCCCACACCAAGCTCACCACACAAGGGACAAAATGGAATATAGCAAACATGCCCAAAAAGAAATCCCACTTTCAAACCCTCCAACTATTGGGAAAACCGAAGTTCTGACCTCTTTACAGATCTACACCTTTTAACTGAAGGATACTGCTTCCCAATAACAATCACTCATATATATTTTATATTGTCATAAACGACATGCAAATTAACAGCAAAATCAACAGTACAACCAATGTGTACAGAGTAGGAAAATGGCTTTTTAATCCTTTGCATTGTTTATGTTTGAGTTCTCCACCCTAGGTTGCATGAAGACGGGATAATTGCACGGAATAAAATTCACAATGAAAATAGTTTCCAAAACTACTGAATTTCTGTAATAAAGCAGAATTATTTTAGTATTCTTAAAGAATTAACTAGAATTAACATTGCAGTTAAATACCTTAAAAAAGTACTTGTAATTACATTTGACATAAATCCTTTTGCAATTTTAGAACGAGCTATCAGCATTTTTTTCTTACATAACAATAGTGGTAGTAATTTAATTAAAAACTGAATAAGGAAAGAGGATGAATAACAAAAGCTCATATTGCAATACCTATTTTTAAGTAAAATTCCATCACAGTTTTTAACAGATGTGTTTAAAAATTCTTTACACAGTATAGCATATCATTCCTTGTTAAAATCATGCTTAAGAATTTTAGAGCACGGGTAGGTAGAGGAGAAAGCACTTTTGAATACAATACTGTATTATTATACAGGATTATTTTGAAAGACTTGGCATGTCCATTGTTCATCTGCTACTTCAAAATGAGACCTAGGGAGAAAGGACATCTTTTTCAACTCTTCCCATCAGCCAAGAAAAGTAGCTTGGGGTGAAGGAGAATGTGAAATGCAATCTTGACCAAAAGCAATAAAATCCATCAAGCTGCCATTGCAGCTGCTTTCCTTTAACACACGATGAACTCTGATGTGATCCTGGCTGAGAAGCAAGAAGTTAACAATTTGCCATCATAGCAAATGCATCCATGCAGGGATAAGGAAAATCAGCCCAAGCTTTCAGCTTACACCTGGAGCTCCTCAAATTACTAAGCAGATGGCTAATGATTTCCATTGTTGGATATGGACTGGCATTTGATTTTGCCTGTTTTGGTTTTGTTCCCATTTGGATCTTAAATCAAAAGAAGTTTGGAGTGTTTTCTTTTAATAGTGGTATAGCTGGAATCTCGTGAAAAATGTCATTTTTGTGACGGGCAGTAAAAACTGTAATTGAACGCTTCTCATCGAAGAAGTTAAGAGATAGAAATAAAATGCCAAGTCACTGTGTGACCTTCCCGCACCCAGGTGCAGCAATTTTTCTTGCACCCAGCTTACTGACAGCCAGATGGGGGGGATCACAGACTCACAAGAGATAACCCCCTCCCCTGCTCATGCGAGAGGGCAGGGTCATTCCCTGGTATCTTGCTGAGGGTAATCTGAATTGTCCAGTGTGCGAGGTTTTGCACTGCTTCCTGGAAAACATTCTCCATGGCCAATACGTCTCTCTGCAAGAAGCGTAACATGAAGTTGAAGCAGAGTTTTCACTTAGTATCTGTCCTCTGTTGGTCTCCGCCACCCTCTGTTGTCGTGACTGAGGGTACAGGGCAACTGGTAACAGAGAAAAAGCACTGAACGTTGAGTCCCAGCAACTGCACTTCTAGAGGACCTCTAATAAACGTGCTTAATGTATCTCTGAAGGTAGTTAGCAAGAAATGCTAATGTGCATGGATTTTACCAAGCATTATTTATTTTGCATGTTAAATATTTCACAAGTTAAAAGCAATATCCAGTCTAAATGCATTGGGGAATATATAAAAAATAATTAAATCACTTTTGTTGGAAACACCACCCATTTCAATACCCATTTTCTGTTTCATTATTCTAAAGAGACTTAAAAGTAAATAAAATCCCAAATGAAGGTCCTGACCTGCAAACATTTGCCCATACACTTACTTTTACAGTCATGAATAGTCCAATTGAATGTAAGAAGCCTAGTCCTCTTCCAGTTTCATTCAATGGGAGCTTTGTTACTGGAGTTTAATGGCCTTGGAGCAGGCCCTAGAAGAACATCTCTGTCAGGAAAATAAACAGACCGCAAATACAGGAAAAAATTCTGTAGTTGATTCCTCTACACATGTGCATTTCAAGAACGACTGCCTGAATAAGAACTCATTTTTGCAGGTCGCATTCATGGCTTCCATGGCTACTCACTTCAGCAACCAGAACAGTGGGATCATCTTCAGTAGTGTCGAAACCAATGTTGGGAATTTTTTTGATGTCATGACTGGGAGATTTGGTGCTCCAGTGAATGGTGAGTGTTTGCAAAACAAAATAATGCAATTCTGGGAGCTATAGGGAGAAGTGTGGTCAATAATGATGAGAAACTCGTAAGTGCCTTTGCACAAGGCACTGATGAGCCTCACTCTGCATAGCTCTTGCTACCTAATTTCAGGAAAAAAGAAACTGGAAACAGAGCAAGACAAGAGAGGGCTTGCCAGCAGCAAGACTAGTGCTGGCACAGAGACAGGAGGAAGAGGCATGGCCAGAGCTGGGGAGAGAGCAAAACTGTCTGCTTTGAGACTTTTAGCCCTTCAGCTGCTGTAATGAGTGGCCTTGACGTTGCAACAGCAGCATCTTCACAGTTGCCTCCTCCACCTCCTGCCGCCAGTCACTCTCTTCATCTCCATGTTGCCTCATGCCAGTTCAGCTGTGAGCTGGACTGCAACAGATGTATGGCTGGAAATGAGGCATTACATTTTTTCCTGAGTTATTTTTCAGCTGCATCCATCCCCCATCTTACGCAGCTGTGGTGCAGGAAGAACAGAAGAAGATCAGGGAGGCAGGGCCACAAACGAAAACATGGCTAAGCAAAGTCTGAAAACAGATTCCTCCACGTGACCTTTCTCACCCTGCCATTTGTTTACCCACTGCTGTGGGAAATGATATTAAATCAAATAAAAGTCAAGCTCTTCAAGCTTTCAGTAGCACATCTTACTGACAGTTAGGGGTGTGTGTCCTCACAGCGGCTTCCTTTTGAGGTTCGTGTATAAGTGGATGTCAATAAACTTTGACCCACAATGATTTAATGACTTTGATGCAAACTCCAAGCTCCCATTGCAGGGTCAGTGCCACAGATTACCATTCAGGAACCAGGAGCTTATTCTCTCACCTGGGGGAGTCTTGTAGAGCTCATGACACATAACACAGTTGCACTGACATTGTTGGTATCTTTCAGACAGAGAAAGAGCTAAAAAGAAAAAAGGTGATGGTAAGTGTGTGTTGTGTAAGAAGAGGAAGTGGTGTGTGCATTGTTCAGGATGTGGTACAGCCAGGTGAGGCGCAGTGGGTGCTGTTAAAACCACTCATGCCCTGCCTAACCTGGGCGAGATGCTGGGTGTCTGCCAGCCTCTGAGGCTGAGCCCTGGCTGGCCTGGAGGCTGCTCTTTTGGGAGAGGGCAGGAGCAAGAAGGTAATGAAAAAGGGTGAGAGAGGGGTCCCTTGACTCAGCCTCTGGGAAATCTCCCTTTCAGTGAGAAGGAAGGGATGAGTGGTCCTGCCATGTTCAAATACAGCCATTTCTCTGGAACAGCATGTGGCTGAACCCCTGCCATATGGAGAATAAAAATGAATCAGATTTTGGCACACTATAAGCAGAAGCAAAATACTCACTGACAACTGGAAGGTAACTTTGGCCTCAGCTGTTATGTTTGCTAAGTGAGAAGCACAAGTCTGTAGCTTGAGTACCTTCCTCTATGAAGTAAACATGTTGTATTTGGTAATCTTTTCAGGGGTGTATTTCTTCACCTTCAATATGATGAAACATGAAGATGTGGAGGAAGTGTATGTGTACCTGATGCATAATGGTAATACTGTTTTCAGCTTATATAGGTAAGTGAAAGGCCAGGCCATTTTAATGCAAAAGACACGTTTACACAGATGTGACAACTTGTTCGCATTTCAAGAAACATGAAAATGTTCAGTTTTAAAATAAATTCTGTAGGTTAAAATAACCAACAAAGGAAATCTACTGTATTTTGCCCACCTCCACTTGCAAATTTGGATCAAGACACAGATCCTGGACCTAAAACTCAGCCTTGGTCACAAGTTCCTCAAAGCTCAGGGGAATGGAATTAGCACTCCAAGTCAGGGTTGGAGTCCAGTAGTAACATGCTGTCATTCTGCGAAAACACATCTTCATCTTCATTTTTCTTGTCAGACTAGTAAACGTCTTGTTAAAGATTAGGGAAGAGCAATTCCCTTCAAAGGTGGAGAGCATTTAAACTGCACTATAAGAATAAATAAGAAGCAAAAGTCCTCCATTTACTGGCTTTGTTATCATTAGCACACTTGGAATAAAAAATTTCTGAACTCTTTATGTTAGCTGGAGGATAGTCAAAAATGGGTTTTACTTCTAGCTTCTATAAGGACCAGGTGAAGAAGCTTGTAGCCAGCTGGGTATCTGAAAAAATATGTGTTGGGAAAAACTATTATTTCTTTAATACCAACCAGGGGTCTGATGCTTCTCTCCTGAGCCTGAATAAACTAACACAAAAGCGTACATTGATCACACTGGATTTTAGGCACTTAGGTGATAGCAGGTTCATTTAAGCTGGCAAGGCTTCCTCAAAAGCCCGAACCTGAAGCACCACCAAACGGTGCTTCATTCCCACTAGATCTTTCCTGCAAAAGAAAAAGTGCCCCATTTTTTTCCCCTGAAGCACTGATGTCAGAAAAGGCAACAGGTGGAAGAAAGGGAACCAACACTTAGGCAAAGCCAGCAAGTTAACCCACATCAAACCAATAGACGTTCCAATGAAAGGCCTCAGGATGGAGTGAGCCGCCTGTCTCTGCCCACTGAATGTGCCGGGAGCACAGGGGCTCATCTCACATGACAGTCCTGACCTGGAGGCATTTAAAATTAGCTGGGAGGAATTCAAGGGAAAAAGGGCATCACAGGAAAACTGGCGTGTTGTGATGAATGCACAGAGTTTTATTTTAAACAACAAATTTGTTCCTGCACCCTGGAAAAAAACACAGAAACTTCCAGAATTTCAGAAAGCAATGAAATGATGCAATTGGGTAAGGTGCAAAATTTTACTAGGAGATCAAATGCAGAGAGATGCTAACATTTCCTCATAAAGCTGAAAAAACATTGCCAAGCCTTTCAGGGAAGTTTTGCTCAGGATAACAATGTGTTTTCTTGGATTCTTTTTTTTTAAAGTTGCTTGCTTGATCATTGTTGAGAAACAAAAAGCTGACTTGTTAAAATATTCATCCTTAGCTATGAATCCAAAGGGAAAGCAGACACTTCAGGAAACAGCGCAGTGCTAAAACTTGCCAAGGGAGATGAAGTTTGGCTGCGAATGGGAAATGGAGCCCTCCACGGGGACCATCAACGCTTTTCTACCTTTGCTGGGTTTCTTCTTTTTGAAACCAAGTAAAAAAAAAAAAAAAAGAAAAAAAAACAAACAAAAGATGTTTATCTGGGGAAACTTCTTTTTTGGAACTGGTATTTTTCTCTGGACTGTGGAATAGCATGACAACATTGAAAGGTCAAGGCGGCTTGTTCTGATGCAATGCATTGCTATTTGTGTATCAGAGATGAGCTACATACTCATAGTTGACACACTTACAGATATATGGAAGATGGGTTCTATCTAGTGAATAATTAAATGTTGCTATTGCTCTCTTCTCCAAAGCGACTGAAAACAAAGGAAAACGAATTTAAATAACTTAGCAGTTTGCACAGTAAAGTCAATTTTGTCTGTAAATATACTTTAGTTAAGTATATGTCAGGAATTGAACAGCTGATTCATGTTTTTCTATTCACTTATTCAGTTCTTATTACTTGTTCATTTAAGTTTGCATCATGGAAACAGGCCTGAATGAATTATAAGCAGGCTCAGCTGAGACCAAATTTAAAGGAAGAAGCATTTACTGAACTAGAATGAACTTTACAAATAGAATTAAAAAAATGTGAAAATAAAGATGTCAAGGATTCAGGTTTATTGCATTCCCATCTCAAACCTGTGAAGATGTATCTGGTGTCATTTTTCATAGATTTTTAGTACCTATTTATGCTCGTGCTCTCTCTCTTAAAAAAGAGTGGTAGTAATTCTTGCCTTAGTAGTAGCTTGAAGCTAAGGTAATTTAGCCTGCAGTGTGCAGGGAGGGGATCAGACAGAGGAACTGTAATGTTTCTTCCTAGCCTTCAAATTGTTAAAACCTGATGTAACTGAATGCAAGGTGTCAATGCAGGGCCCTATACGCTGGAGAAGTGGGGATACGCCAACAGCACAAACAGAGAAACACACACTTTGTGGAGTCTGGAGCTCCTTTAGAAGGATGCACCTCCTAATATTACATATTTACTTAACAGTGAAGTTGTTGATACAGTTTTCCTAGTGGCCTTCCAAGAAACAGTATTTCAGGAAAAGACATTGCAGCCTGGCCAAGCAGCAGCTAACCCAGTTCAATATTTAACTGGTGAAAGCAAACGCTGGCTGGCTCAGAAGTTCTGCTCACAGTTAAACGGGTCATTCTTCAACATTAATATTTGCCACCAGCTTTTCAAACTTTGGGTACCTGAAATCCTGTCTTCCCATTTTCTTTTCATTGGAATCAGCACCTAATATGCTAAGACAACCCTGAAGTTTGAATGTATCTTCTGCACGTTCTGGCTCTCCACACACAAGCTAATGAAATACAAATTACATTTTAACAGACGTTACACTGTAACCAGATATTACCTGCTATTAATATATAACAAGCAGGTGGGGTTAGGAACGCATTTATTTGAGATTCTTTTATACTGGATACAGATACCTGTAGCACGACCATAGAGCAAATTATTGAGAATCTGCCCTATGACTTTGTATGTCCTTGTACATGTTCCTAGTGCATGTAAACCACATCTTGCAATGAAAAATACATGTTGGTACTTGATGATTATGACTTGTGATTTTTACATTTTATGCATCAACCACTGAAAATATTAGCTTTAATGAACTGTCATCCAATGAGTTCTACTGTTTCTTTATGAACTTGGATCAGGTTTGCACCACATAGGTCTTCAAAACCTGAGACAATGTCATTTTAATAAGCATTTAAGTAAAATTCTGGCATGCCTTCAAACTAAAACCCACCCACCAGGTAATCAGACAATGTTATTCTTTTGGTATAAGTGCACAAGTTGTATGAGATATATGACATCATGAGCTAATGTTCACAGTAGGAAAAATCTTGAAAAAAGTATTTCTTGTTGTGTTAGGAATGTTTGCTTACTTTGTAACACATACATTTATCCAATAAAGATTAATAGATATAAAATTATATTTGTTTGTTCATATCTATATTTACCAAGGACCTTACCATTTGGGGACCATGGGGATATATTCTTCATATGTATTTCCTAAGCATTCATCTTGCTACTCAATGGGAGAAATCCAGCACCAAGGGTCAAAATTTATTTATTTTACATGTATATATATACACATAAAATTTAAATCCCTAAGGTTTCCTTTGGGAACTTAATTTTCCTTTGTGGCATGGCCATTTTATTCCACTTTGGTCAGAATAAAGCACTTAGAAACTGTCACAATAATTTTAAGCTCCTTTACGTTCTCTCTCATAAGGGCCATGGCAAAAGAAAGTCCAGTTTTGCCATTCCCGTTTTATGTTGTTTTCACAAGTTTTGTGCAACTTGGCTCGCTAAGAGCAGAAAGCAGCTAAGAATCACCACAAAGGCTTCTAACAAACAAACAGCAGCATGTTATCAGTTCCAAGGTTAAAACTGAGAGGTTTTTTACATCAAGGTCGAAACTTCCTAGGTTTTGTATGAAATCTCTGCAGTCTTTTCTCTGCAAAGTTATTGCATGCAATCTCTGCTGACTGAGTGTTGTAATACTTGACAAATAAATTGTTAACTTGCATATTAATTTCAAAGACAAAATGTCTTCTGTAGAGACTTTTGTCCTCTGTTATAAAATAGGTGGTATCTTGTAATTCGTGTTATGAGTGAGAAACCTGGAAACTCAAAAGCTGCAATCTGGAGTATACTTAATGGGTTCTTGCCTTTGCTAAGCTGAGTCTGTATCTCTGTCTCCCACTTCATGAGCTCCCAGATTTAACCAAAACTTGGCAAGAGCTGCAAGCCTCTGCCTGCCGCAGAGCTGTGGTTTGGTAGGCGATATTCTGCCTCTGTGGTGGGAGTTGGCACCCTCGCAGAAGAAAACACTGCCTCACACAGAGACAAGCTGAGCTCAGCTCTGTGTGGAACACCAGCCCCCACTGTTGGTCCTCCCTTCCCCCGAGACACGGGGACCGCTGTCCTTCCTCGTGACACCCTTGGAAAGTAGCAGCTCTCATCCCCAGCTGCATTAGGAGCACTAAGGGCTGCATTTTGTAAAACAGGGCTGTGTGCCACTTGAGAGATGCTGGTTGGACCCTCCTCCTTGGCAGAGGTAAAACACAACTTCTGCGAGAGAAGAACATGAACTAGAATGAAACCTAACCGAAGGAAAGCGTCTTAGGTCTGGGTCCCAGTTTCTGGAGTGGTGCTTAAGGAAAGTGGAAAGCAGCTCAGTTTACTCTAATTAGAAATACTTGAGGAAAAAAAGTTGCCTATGGTTTTACTTTCAGAGGCTAGTCCATGGCCTGAGGGTGACTGAGTTGACTCTGAGGAAGCAATTTAGACTGATAACAGTCCCACTGCAAACCTTGTGAGCCAAAGGGAGGTCTTCAAATAAAGTAACATTTTTTCTAAAGGGAAAATAAGGAACACACCCTTCACTCAGATCCTTCATCTTGGATCCTTTCACCCATGAAATTTTGCATTGAGTTTCCTACATTACACCCTACTGCTTTCTGAAGTGGTTTTTAATAAAGGTGTTTTTTATTAAAACTGTATTTTCTCTTACTTCGCTCACATTATTAAAATGTTTTGTGCTCAGAACCAAAAAAATCACACGAGGACAAAACACGCAGGGAGCTGCTGAGTGGTGTGTGAAAAGGCACACAGTTCTTCGTTTTGGTGAATCAGCAGCAAAATTTCTACATTTTGCAGTTAGCTCTGCCTCAGCAACCAAAAGAAATAAAAACTGTCAGTGGTCAGTTCAGATTTAAAAATCTGAGGCAACAAAAGGCATTGTGAAAAGCAGTGCTCCAGGCTGGATGTCATACTCCGGTGCCAGTGAGGAAAGACAGAAACTCTGGAAACTATCTGCATCAATTAGAAGAACTCAAGACAATGTGCACGCCTTAGTATGACCAGGTTCCCTCTTACAACAACGGGCAACAGCTTCTTTAGTCTTTGGGCCAAACCACACAGTCCTAGCAGGTGTTAGAGCGTCTGCAGTCCCATGTTAATTTTTATTATCAAATGAATTCCTTGAGGGAATTATTCAGCACAGGAGTAGCAGCAGAGAACATCCATACCTCCCATGCCTCATCCCCCTGCTGTCTGGTTAAATTGATACTAAAAACCAAAAGAGTGCCAGAGTCTATTCTCTTGCCCAGAGTTATCACCTGGCTATGTTAATGCTAATTAAAGTCTCTCAGCCTTCACAGCAGGGTGTCTGCTTGCAAAACTGGTCCCTGGCTTGCACTAACTTTCAAGCAGTACTCAAGAAAAGTTGGGAAGATAACTCCTTGTCATAGACTAAAGGCATTCTCAGGACGGTTCTGCTAACGTAGTTGTATAACCCATCAATTTTGGTGACACGACACTAGAATTCAGCAACTACCAGACATGGAAATTCCTGTTGCTCTTTAATTCACTACTCTGTACATCATCCCTGATTACCTTGTAGGCTGAACAAGGACTGATAATAGGTGTGGGAAGAGACTGCTGGTATCTTGACATTGCAAATTCCTGCCAACAGGAGTGAGACTGGTCACTCTTTTCTACCACTAGAGTGATGAAATCAGCGTATCAATTTTGGCATGAAGACTGTAAAGATGACAGTGGGACAGGCTCAGTATTGTGCATCAGCATTTGAAACAGGGCAGGGCATGCTCCATGAACACATTCACAGAACAATAAAATCCATGTGGGGCAGGGTTTTATTAAACAAAGATAATTCTTGTGCTAACTGGTGAAAAATTGCACAAATAGAGTTTTATCCTTCTGCTTTTCTGAAAACAATCCAGCAGATGTGAAGAATTCCACAAAAATAAGTGTTTTAAAAGAATCACATTGTTACAACACCAACAATGGAAATATCCATGTTAAAATCATCTTTGACATCTTAGCTCCTGCTTCCTGTGAACGTGTCTCACAGTATGTTCTTCCCATCATATAGTCACATGTTATTTCTTAGCCTCATCCAGCAGCAATTATATGATGCTTACTGAATAAGGCACGGGCCATATACTGGAATAGGATAGCAAGAGATGAATATAGAACAGTTTCATCCAGTAACTTCATCCAAATGTATACCTA